TTTTCCATTAACATATGATTTATTTAAACAATATGAAATATTATTATTACATTTTCCATTTTGATCTTTTATCATATCTTCTTCACATGTTTTATTTATACATTTATTATTATCTAAATATTCTTCATATTTACATTTTATTTCAATATCATTTGTTTGACATATTTCTGATTTTGAACATTCTATACATTTATTATTATTAATGTATTTTCCATTTTCACAATATATTTCTTCATTCTTTCCATTTTGATTCTTTTCTTTATTTGAACATTTTCCATTGTTTAATGTATATCTATTTGAACATGATACACATTTATTTCCTTCATAATAACATTGATCTTCTTTATCTCCATTACATTGATTATTTTGTATTTTATATCCATTTGAACATTTTAAACAATAATTTCTTTCTGATTTATTACATTCATTATCTTTTTCTTTACATTCTCCTTTTTCTTTAATATATCCTTCTTTACATTGATAACAATATGTTTTATATCCTACAATACAATTATCTGGTAATAATTGACATTCTTTATTTGAATTTAAATAATATCCTTTTTCACATTCAATACATTCTCTTGTTTCTTCTTTATAAATCATCATATTACAATTCTTATATCCAATACTATCTAATGTTATTCCTTTCATTCCAATAATCATTATTTGACTTTTATTTGTTGTTAATGTTGTTTCTGAAAATTCTATATTATTAAATTAGTTAATGGTTTTGAAGAAGAAATAATTAGTGTTGAAATTGATTTATCATCATTTTCTACTTCTTTAATTAATGTTGTTCCTTCATTTGATTGTTCAATTCTTGAACTAAATTCAATTATTTGATATGGATCTTTCTATAAAGATCACATATTAATTTATTTATTGATTTAATTTTAATCATAGATTAGGATAAAGATATTTATTAATAATTAATAAAGATAATTATTTCTAATTATATAAATCTTTATTGATGGTGAGATATAATAGTTATAATATAAAGAAATGCTAATAAAAATAACAGATTCATTGGAACTATCTTCAATTTTTAAATATTTTATTATAATTAGTGCATTTTCTTCTTTGAAAAGATAGATAATTTATGTTTATTTTTATATTGGATAATGTATTATATATTTATTTTTGATATTTATGTTATAATGAAAAAGTATTAAATACTAATATTTAACAAGGTTCAATTAATGGGCATATTCATATTTTTTACTTCTTCATAATGAGAATTGATTAGTTCAATGAATTTTAATATGGTCTCATTCTATATGTATGTTTATTTAAAACACAATCTATTTAAAATATTTTTCATCTAATGTATTACAGAAATGGTTCTATAAAACACTATTTATTTTATGTTTTTTAATAGTATTACTCTTAATAATGTTGTGAAGATATTTGTAATTTGATAAATGTAATCTTCTTACTAATTTATTTTGTATTAATTTATTGTTAATATTACAATATATTTCAACACTTATTATATCTATGTTATATATTATTTTCTACCAAATTCATTTATTATACAATATTCTTCTTTCTTTACTATATATTTATTTGAGTGAATTACATTCATTAATAGTAATCTTTTTATCAAATGTTTTTTTATTCTTTTATTTACGTTTTCTTCTATTATCTATAACATTTCTCCAACTCCTGTATTTGTTTTGTATTTATTTTGATCTTTTTTTATTTCTCTTTAGAAAATCTTTAACTCCGCAGAAATCCCACGATTTTTAAATAAAAATAATAATACATGAAACAAAAGAGATTAAAAAGAATAATCAATACTATAGAAGAAATAACAAATACCAAAAAAGATTTAATACAAATCAGATAGTTCATAGATATGATCATTTTGAAAATAGACAGTGGTACAATGATAGGGACAATAAATATTATCATCAAAACTCCTATTATCCTAATAGAAGATATAAACAATATCATTACAAGAACAATAACTATCAAAACAGAAAATACAAAGAAAGAACCAAAGAAAGAGAAAACAAAATAATAATAATAAAAGAAAGGATGAAAAGAATTGAAGTTATTGAAAAGTTAGTAACAACAATAAAAAAGAAAATAGGAAATGAAGATGAAGAGAAAG